AACGTGTAGTCCCGAAGAAATTGAGAAAAAGCGTTTATTAGCATTGCAGAGGAGGCAGCAATCTCAATTAAAAGCACAAAGTACATCCATAAGTAATCGAACTCATCAACTGTCAAAATTAAATGACAATGAAAATATTGCACAACAAAACAAAACAAACTTAAATGTCAATGAAAATATTCTACGACAAAACAAAACAAACAATCGTTTCAATCCTATAGAAATCAGAAAATTTTTCAATCCAATGGTATCTGTAACAGCAAAATGTTATATGGTCAGCATTGATAGATTTGCCATAGAATTATCAGCATTTATACCTGAAATTATTGATACATTTAGAACAGTTCCAAGCAGAATATATGGTAACTATAAGTTGCTTAACTTAATGCATACAATATTTATAATTTTTATTAATATTTAATTTTACAGATCCGCAATCCAGAATATGGAATTTTCATCTCAATGATTATAATAGTGTATTAAAGACATTGCATTCTAAACATTGTGATTTATCAATAACAAAGATACCAGAGGCTGTTTTTCGGGTAATTAGAAATGAAGTAAAAATACATTAAGAAGCTACAAATATAATCGCATATATTCCTATTTTAGATATTTAAAAAAAACTTAAAGTCAGACACTCAATTGCCAGAACATGATTTATCAAAAATTGATGAAAAGTTAACAAAATCTTTAATGCCGTTTCAACGAGAGGGCATTTGGTAAATCTATTTTTATATACAATTACTGTGTTTGTATTTTATACATATGTTTTTATTAATATATTTTGTATAATTTATTCCAGCTATGGTATATCGAAAAATGGTCGTTGTATGATTGCAGATGATATGGGTTTAGGAAAAACTATACAAGCATTAGGCATTGCACATTATTATAAGGAAAGTTGGCCACTTCTTATTGTAACTCCTTCATCAGTGAGGTAAGTTCTGTTGTAATTGATGTAATGAAAGTATTAATATTAGAGATGCTTTATATAGGTACCAATGGTCTTCGTCAATCTGTAAATTCTTACCATCTGTACCTGTACATTACATTAATCAATTTGAGCACACAAAAGATCGCATTGAAGATGACAAAATCACTATAACATCATATGAGTTGTTGGTGCGAGCCGAAAATACTTTTGCGAAACATATTTATGGATTTGTTATTCTGGTATATAAATATATACGTTATTTTTTAATAAATCAAATATAAACGTTGTTATTGCTATTGCATTTTATAAAATTGTAGGACGAATCCCACGTTTTGAAGAGCAGTAAGACTGCGCGATTTCAAGCTGCTAGTCGAATATGTGCCCATGCACGTCATATTGTACTGCTCACAGGCACTCCGGCTCTGTCAAGACCAATCGAATTGTATACACAGATTAGCCTTGCTGTTCCACGTTTTATGAGGTAATTAGAAAGACTAGATAGTTTGATACTTGCTTTATTTATGTAAACAGGCATATATTTTATAAGTATTATTTTGCAGCTATGAGGACTATGGTATACGTTATTGCGCAGGACAGAGGTCTGTGTATGGTTGGGACTTCCTAGGCTCCTCGAATTCACAAGAGTTACAAGTGCTGTTGAAATCGAATTGCATGATTCGAAGGCTGAAAGCTGACGTTTTAAATCAGATGCCGTCTAAGAATAGGTTTTAAAAGAAAATATTTTTATGTCAGCAACTTGATTAGAAGTCTAAGCATATTTTTATTTATTTATGTGTTTTAGGGAGGTGATTATTTTAGATCCAGATTTGATCAAAACTGGCAAGAAAATGTGGGAGATGTCGCAACGATTGCAAACAAATATTACGGCTTTGGAAAGGCATAATGCTCTAATACAATATTATTCCCAGACTAGCTATGCGAAAGTGAAGGCAGTACGGTGGGTAAATAGTATACTTATATTTTTTAAAGAAAGTAAATAATTTCTATTTTAATTAATTTAACATTGGTACATTACAGCAATTACGTTACAAACCTATTTAAAGATAAGAAAAAATGTATTTTGTTTGGTCATCATCAAATTATTTTGGATGCTATTTGCGAAGCTGCTGAATCTGTAGACATAGCGTAAGTTTTTATTAATAGGATATAGATGTGAGAATCATTTGAGTTTAATTTAACGTATAACCGTGTTAATTCTTTTTATAATTATGTTCCTGATGAATTTCACCGTTAAATTTTTAATATTAAGATTATATTGAAGAAGATCCAAGCAAAATAAAAATATATGTATAATCAGTATATATGTTTATCTTTTTTAATAAAGTATATATATTCTTACACTAACAATTTGTGTTAGCTCTGAAAGACTTCTTTTAATTTTTAATTTATTATTTCATTCATTAGAGCCTAAATTGAGTAGTTATCTGTTTAAGTTTTTATAATTATCGTCAGTACGTCATATATCGCAATTATGACAATTTCCAGGTATATAAGAATCGATGGCAAAACTAATTCAGAACAGAGGCAACTTTTGATCGACAAGTTTCAAGAATGTGATGAATGTTTAGCGGCGGTTCTGTCAATCACCGCTGTGAACGCAGGTGTTACATTAACGGCCGCAAATTTCGTGGTCTTCACCGAATTATTTTGGAACCCCGGTGTAATTAATGTTTACCAAAAAAAAAAGCAAATCTTAATACAGTATATATAAAATTCATCTCACGTTAATGCATGGTATCATTTTCAGATCTTGTCCCAAGCGGAAGACAGAGTGCATAGAATCGGGCAAAACAATACTGTCAAAATCGAATACTTGATAGCGCAAAATACTGCGGATGATTATATATGGCCGTTGCTTAACAAGAAAAAGGATATTCTGAATGCAGTCGGTCTCAAACAGGATCTCTCAATAAATAACGTCAACATCGCAGTGCAGAATAGCAAGCAACGAAACTTGACTTCTTTCTTAAATATTTCTTCGTCCTCTGGATCGCAGCACGATATGGAGATTTCTCCAGCAATTTCAGAAGAGTCTCCTTCAAATATTAAAGAGTTACTCGAAGTCGATAATGAATGCTTTGACTCCTGTGATTGGGATATGTGAATGGACAATAATTTAGTATTCTCTTGCTATTTTCAGACATATTTTTTGTATGAAGAAAAAATAAAATGTATTCTAATTTGCTATTTTCAAAAACATATTTTTTATATGTAGAAAAAATAAAAGATTCTATGTGTTTCATCTCGGATTTAATTTTTTTTATTATTATTCAGGTGAAATTTCACCGAATACCAGATCAAGTCTGTCCTGTTTTAAGTATTAAATCAAATGAGTAAATTTTTGCAAAAAAAAGGAGAGCGATACAATTACGAGAATGTAGTCTGTTTTATCGGGTAAGTTTTATACAACCGGCTGCGAATGATTACGAACCCGTGGTAACGTTCAGCAGATGGCAGCTTTCACACAACGAGGATCAACGAGGATTCGGCAGCACGCGTGAATTTTGGTTAATGTTGTTTATAACAAAGTGAATGACAATGTCTCTTTTCAACGTGCGGCAATTCTTTGGCACGTTGTATCATCGTTACATGTTCTCATTACCGGCAATACACTTATCTCGCACGCAAAAGGTAAGAGTGAAGTCGGCGACTTCTCAAGGTTAGAGTAAATACTTTCACTATTTGCACTTAATTATTACATAATAATGCAAAAAAATTACAAGGTCAGGGTAACAATTGAACGGGGATTTTATTATTAAAATTTAAATTTGATGACACGAGTACAAGTTTGTTAGTTGTATGGATTTCTTTCAGATTTTTATTATCTGCTTCACTAGCGGTTCAATATTATTGGGAGGACTAGCACAGTTTTTGAAGAGACGACGAAGACACCCTATTCCACCTTCCAGAAGGCATTACAGAGACTATAAAACAAGATTAGGAAATATTAAGAACGCTAATTTTGGTAATACTATTGATACGCTGTCACATTACATAAACCAATTTAATTATGAAGTTAAAACGCAATGTAAAACTTGAATACATTTAAATTTATTAATGATTATATAATAAAGTAAAATGTTTTGTTACACTAAACATCTAGATGTACTGTCACAAGCATCTTGGGCAAGAAGAAGTGAAGCCAGCACTAGAAGTCACATTAGTGATCGTGCATCACTCATCTCCTCTGTGCCAGGGGGTCCAGACGATAATGAAAAACTTACTCCACAACAATATGGTGTTCTTGGTAAGTTTTTGATGCAATTTATCATTAATAATTCAGATATACTTTATATAAAAAAATAGCTGAAATGTATAATCAATGATATCAAGGTTGCGTTCCATTAACACAATGCTCATGGAATCATTTCATCTTTTATCAAATGTTAAACAAGGACAAACGATGCTCACAAGTGTTGCGAGCGTTAAGTGGAACGCAGCCCAAATCTATTGGGAAATTATATTCGATTTGTATTTAAAAATATTTTCGTATACTTCTTGATTTTTTAAATAAAAATTTAGGATACATATATATATATATATATATATATATATATATATATATATATATATATATATATATATATATATATATATATATATATATATATATATATAGAAATATAGAAATTTCAGTAATTTTTTTTTTGTTGACCATATCACGTACTCTTAGTATCTTTCAATATTGATACATTTCTCATGGAATAATCTTGATTTTTCTAAATCAAAATACAAAGTTTCCTGCGTTCTTGATTGTATAATCTACTTATTGGAGATTCTGAGAAATGTGGATATTGCTGGGAACTCTTTTATATGTACATAGCGTTTATATTTACATGATAATGTACAATACAGCAGCATTATTCACAAATAATACATCTGAGTGTTGAGAATATAGATATTTTTAGAACGATTCTTGGCTTCGCCAAAGTCGATAGTTTTTTTTTTTAGGATTTATTTACGTCTCTACCGGCATATAGGGTGAATTGTCAAGAAGTTAATTTGTGATCTTGGGTTGTACGAACATACAGCTTCCTTTTTCGAACTCTATACTAAAATCGCGCCGCCCACTCGTTAATTACGTTTCGTCAATTAACTAGGAATATCGAAGAAATATCATAGGTACCACAAATTTTATTTGCGTTTGTCTTCTATCGTTGCCTTTCTCTGACTTCCTCGCAAGTCTCGATCTCGCAACGAATTATTGCTTTCTCTCGCAATCAACGAATCGTTCAAAATAATGTTTTATTTTTTCTTTTCGTGTTTACGTAAGGTTTTCATTGAATATCACAACAGGCGTGATTAGGCTTACGTTAATAAATGTCGTTAGAGACACTTTAGCCCGAAATAAACAGTTTCGCGCTAATCCTACGGTATTCATCGGTTAATAGTAAAATATAAGAATTGTACTTGTGTGTGACGCTACTATCGATAGAGAAAATATCTATAAATCATATTATATAAATAAGCCTACTACACAATATTACAACTATCAGATCATAGAAATACATATTATATACATACATGTGGATACTTCTTCGGTAAAAACGCTGACAACGCAACCTCGTATGAAAAAAATGACCGTCGTTTTAGTCTTTCGAGTGAACAAAAAAAATGCTTCCACAAAACGTCGAAATCAATAATTTTATACTTCTCACGCGTACCAAAATATTCTATCCTCTTTTTTTATTAATAGATTATTTAGATATTTATATTATATATACCAATAGTTCCTCCATCATTATACGTCTTTTTCAACAGTATTCTAAGAAACCTGCAAGTCCTATCACTTTACGTACTAGCATCAGATAGGTACATAATTGTTTAAAACTGAAAAAAAATACACATACTGCATCAGCAAATTCAACACGCTCGTGAATAGCATTATCACTTAACGTTATCGTAATATATAATTAAACATTAAGCAATTAGCTCGTACGTTTGTCATTTCGCTGTGATAACTTTGGAACTTAATCGAATTGTATCGTAAAAAAAAAAATGTACCTATCTACCCCCTACACTTTATACGGTTTTCTCTCTTACTTACTATCCTTATAAATTTTACAATCTTCTAAAATTATACGACAATCTCTCAAAAATATATCGTAGCAGAATTAATTCGCATATCTTGCTCTTTTCCTCCATTGCTTAACTTCTATTTGCCTCCCGACTCAATACGTATATACGCTACTATTCGTTCAAAACGTTATTCGCGGCATTTATAGCCCTTTCTCAACTTTCTCTCTAAAAAAAAAGAATGTCCTTTAAAGCGATTAGTCTTCTAAAAGGATCTAGAATTGCGCTTTTGCGAAGGCATAAGACATACATTATAGCTGGAAAGTCAATTCACAGCAGGATTAGAAAAAGACGGAATGTTACACGGTCGGTTCAACAATATAACGGGTGAACGTTTCGCGGCCAGGTTAATCTACCTGCACATCAGTCGCTGCGATCTCGTTCTTGTACTTAACTCATTGTCGTGAGACTAGCTCCATTGTTCAGTTGCGAAGATACTTTTCTCTCGCTCTCTCTTCTGTTACTCTAAGCGCATTTGTGTGTGTGTTGTTTGTGTGTATAATAATATAGATATATGTATATATTAAATATCGAGTTTTTTTTAAAGGCAAGCATGTATCAGCACCGCAATCCAACGGTGCATGTATGTACGAGTGTTTAAATAAAAGGAGGTCGTTTTCGCGATAATCGCTACATACGAAATTACAGCAATTTTCTTTCGCGTATATGTATTTTTTTGTTCTTTTTTTCTGTGTAATTCTTTTTTTTCTTTTTTAATCTTTTTTCCATTTTCGGGACTGTGTCGTCTACTGGGTTATATTATTATATTACTATTGCGGGAATTAGGAATTAACGTTTAGAGGCGGCGGTGGCGAACGTGCAATCGGGTCTTCACGTAATTTTATGGAGGATCAGCAGCAGTAGAAGCGGAATGACGAGCGTCAATAAGCTCGATTGAAACGCAACGGACGTGGCACCGCCATAGAGCGTCTCCACCTTGAGTAACAACGGACTATTGTTGTCATGCATGCCCGTCGATATGTCCGTTTTCTTCGGCGGTGTGATTAGGTTCTCGTCGTGATCTATGTCCGAGTCGTCCGTCTGGTGCCGGTGCGTTGTCCGGCTCGAGTCTTGCTTCATTGTTGTCGGCACCGTCGTTGTCATCAACGTTGTCGTGGTCGGTGGATCGGTGGTCGTAGTAGGCGGTGGCACGGTAGTTGGTACCAAGCTGAAATTGCTCAGGAAGTAGATGGGTCCGAATTCCGGTGTGATGTCGAACAACGTTTCCTCCTGCCGAGTGCCGCTAATCATGCGCGATGTCGTTGTACTATCCTCGTAATGCGAAATCAAGTTTGCGGAGTACGGTACCTCCATGTCCGTATAGTTTGCCTTCAGAGTCACGTTTACGCCCGTACCAGGTTGCAGGTAGACCAGCACGCTGTAAAAGACACGCGCAAAAAAGATATGTTAAGTTTGTTGACTCAATCTAGAAATTGGTCTCTATAATATAAATCATATGTGTATCTTTTTTTAACAATAAATAACGAGTCGCACTATCTATAAAAAATTTCGTACCTATATAAAAAAATTTAATTGGTAATTTAGTTTCGTTATTCAGGTGAGATATATATTTATAATTTATGTAAGGACACGTTTAGGATTACCAAGGACCTCGAGGACTGAACGTGTTAACGTAACACTGGACTGTACTGCAACTGGAACGCGGGTCCGATGCATGATCGTAATTGTGTTGCGTTGAAGCATCACTTAAGCTGAAAGCACGACGGAGTATTCTAGGGCACACTGAGCGGGAAGGGTGGTACGAAGTTGTCGTGCAAAGTGCACTCCAGGCTCATCTCTGCCGCGCGCGAGCTTCAATGATGTACAGGAAGCGATGAAGTATCCCGAGGGGCTAACCAGAGAAAATGGGCGAGAGAGAGAGAGAGAGAGAGAGAGGGGGGGGGGAGATAGAGACATAGTTACATTACGGAATAAATTTGATCTCTAATTATATCTAATTATAGAGATACGAGATGAGATTACGAGCTGAATCGCTGCAAATCATACGCTTGTTCGACTTATGACTCATTTAACGTTCTATGTCGCCAATTCGCGTCGTAATCCTCACGATTATCCGCCTTTGATCCACTCATTCGCCGCAAACGCGATGATAGAAGCTCTACACTTCATCATCACATGTTCGCAATCATTATGCAAGCGTGACTAGGGGAGATAGGTAGGATAGGATTAATTTAAATTAGCAATTCCGTAACGCTTCGTTAAAAATAAAATTTAAATGTTAACTTGTCACTTTAACTTCTACGCGACTTTGACTCGCTATCTTTTAGAATATAAATGAACATTTTATCTCTGGATACATATAAAAAAAAAGCTCTAAATTTGCATACCTGCCGTTCAACTTCATTGCTCATGACAGTTTAAAACGATACTTACTTGTAAGCCTCCGTGCGATTCTCGTCATCGCGCGTACCCCACGTTATGTTCGGTAAGGACGTGCCGTTAATTAGCGTGATCGTGGTGCTCAAGCCGTTCAGGATGGCGTGCCTGCGACCCCAGTAGACCGAGTACTTGTAGTTGTATACACAGGCTTCCGCCAAGTTTGCCGGTTCCGCTCCGCGGTTGACGATCGTCGCCTCGCTGAGTATGCGAGGTACGCGCTTAATATCGCGCCTCTTAGACCAGTTAAGTTTAACGGAGCCGAGCTCATAACGGATCGGTTCGGCCTCCACCAGCAGCTCACCGGACTTCGCAGACTCTTCGTCGCCATTCTGCGAAAGAAAACCGAATCTCATACGTTCGCCGTCGGCAACTCGATTACTTCGCGAATGAATTACGCTGTCACTAATATGACGCATATCTGCAACGAACTTAATGACTTCTTGAAAAAAAGAAAAAAATTCTTAGAATCAATAAGTTGAATTTAACGTGATATTCCTATTCATCAATCCTTATTGTATTGGCAACACGCTTTGAGCGAGAAGTTTTTCTGTGTTTATTCGCTCTTCCAAAGTTTAACTTGTTGGAATCTTGTTTTCCAATACTGACATCTGCGTTTTGCCAGGGCGGAATCAAAACAGGAAGATGGCAATGCACTTTTCTCTTTTATCAATTCGGAAAAATTCGAAAGAACTCGCAATCTCGATACTCACCTCGTTCACATAAACGATAGTACCGAAGTTCTCGGGTGAGCTGAGAGTGCCGATATAGTGAGTGTACCGCGGTTTCTCCAGATCTTTAGGGACCTCATGCCTAGCTACCAGCATTGTCTTGTCGACGTACACCGCACCCACGGGAGGCGGGGTGTACTTGTTCCATTGGATCCACGAAATCCGCGCCGCCCCATCGACGTTCTCCAGTAGCTCGTACTTCTCGTACGACTGTACAACACCATGTATTGTCACTGTGCAGACCTTCTCCTTTTCTTTCTGTGTACCGGCCACCCATACTCCACTGTGCATCGCGCGGCACACGTAGAGCACCAGTCTCTTTATCTCCGCTTGATTAGCATAATTCTCATCTGCAATAAGTCCGCGTGAAGACAATCAGTCTCATCAATCACTAGATAGTTCGATTTTTAAGCCTCGTGCCCATTCGATGCTAGAAATCGATCCGAGATGTCGGACAGAGAAAGAATTAACAAATTGTTTGAACAATTCGGTTACATGGTCAATGCGATTGGTCAATTCTTTCTCCATCTGAGATCTCGGTTCGATTTCTAGCATTGGGGATACAAGGCTAAGGGTCTAACGTTTTCGTCTCGCACGACAAGAAATGTTTAGGCTCGCTTTTTAGGCTTTCATGAGTATTATCTTCAAAGATACTAGAAAGTTTGCCAACGTTTCGTGAACTTTATCGTTCACTTCATCAGGTGCGCTCCTCGCCCGGCAAGGTTTACGAAACGTTGACATTAGTAATGGATGAAAACACGGCGATATTTACGAAACGTTGATATTAATAATGGATGAAAACACGGCGATAACCCGCAAACCTTCTGGTATCTTTGAAATGTCTAGACTTTGACGCTAATCATATTCTCGCAAATTGTATTTAAATCTAGCGCGTCCCTGAGTGTCTCGATTTCTGAATGAAGCATAAACGAGCGTAACGACTCTGACGTAATGATGCACAATTAATAGTTCACGTAAGCCGGATCCATCCAGGCCAAGGAAACGAACATGAACAGACACGAATGAACGGCTTGTTTAAGTGAATGCGAACGTCAACACGGCGACATTCATCAAAAACAAGCTGCTCATTTCTGTTTGTTCGCACTCGTTCGGTCTGACCTCGGCTTTTGCGCGACACATTGCGCGCATTGTGACGATCCAGGTGTATTATCGTCGCACCTTGACTATCCGGTACGTTCTCGCTGCCACCGATGATTATCTGCTTCGAATCGCTCGGGTTATAGTGCGCCACCGGTAGCCATTTGAGCGTGGTTGAGGTAAGCGTCTGGTGGCCGTACTTCGACAGTATGTGCACGCTGTTGTCCGCGGTAGTTGCCGACAGCAGGAGGATGCAGCCGAGCACTCCTAAGGCGAGGTAATTCTTCTGCCGAAGCATCTGCAAACGAGATGAGTGGGTTAACTTTCTAGACGTTATCACCTCATAGAGGCAATGCATGCAGCAATGATAACAGTTCCGCATAAACTCTTTATCTAGGAACTTGCCCATACTGAAGAAAAATACCAAATCTTAATAAATATTTATTTGAATAATTCTAATATTTACTAAATGTAAACATATATTTATTTATTACAAAAATCATTAATTTGTGATTTAACTATCATTTTTTTATTGAGTAAAATTTTATTTATTGTGTGTTAACTTAATACTGTACAAAGAAATATGTATTAAGATTCAGTAAATTTTTTTTCAGTGGTCTGATTTCAATGAATAAGGCAATATCTGAAGATTTCGTTCTCGTCCTCAGAATAATCGAATAGAATTGATCGATTCACATTATCTAGACAATTTTCTGGCGATTTCAAGAATAATTCGGCAACCTCGATGACTTTGGAGAACCACTCTCGCCGCAGTCTCGTTACATGGAATGTAAAGGGTTCAAGCGCCGGTCCCTTTCTGGCTTCCCCATTTTTCTGTCGGAGGTCAACGGCGCGGTCGTGCTATGCGAAAAATGCGCGCGATTTTCCGGCGATTAACACGCAACGAAGGGGCACGCCTCCCTCCTATCTAATCGCGTCACGATCGGCAGCAAAAAGGAAGAAAAAAACCAACAACGGACACGAAGCGCACGCATAGCTTTGCGCTACCTAACTCTACTCTCAGCGAGAAGCTGGCCGCCCCTCTGGGGGCTTTGCGATTACGTTTCCGCTTACTATGCCGAGCGTGTCTTCAACGCGAGCCCCCTCTCCCCCAGTATAACTGGATCTCGACTTGGTTTTACTCTTGCCTGTGTATTTTCGCATCGGTTGGTCCGGTAACAAGCGAAAAGGAAAATCCGCGAATTCTAAAACCCAGAAAAGAGAAAGAGAGAGAGAAAGAGTCTGTAATCCTCGAATCTTTCTTTGGAGATCGATAATATATGTCTTGTAAAAATGTACAGTCTACATAGAAATTGTAGACGGTCGTGGAGTCTTAAGTCGTAGAAAACTGATCAATCAAATATAACAAGAATACTCGATTAGGATTGGTCAATTTTCTACGATTTGAGACCCTACGACCATCTACATTTTTAAACGAGCTTTAATAATCTCAAAAAGTGTAAACAAATTAAAAGTGTCAGAGTTAAATGTGCTTTCCAGCAAGAATAGATGTGACACAGTGATCATTTCATCTTTGTTTAACATTGGCGAATAACAAGAATGTAATGATACACTATATTATACTGTCATCTGTATTTTAGCTGAAAAACTCAAAATCAACATCACGATGAACATCTCTAGGTCCATCTTCTGTAATTAAACTAGTAAACACTTTTAGAACTTAAAATGAGATAGATATGTTTGATATTTGGCAAAAGCGAGAGAGACTTCTAGTGCAGAAATAAAAAAAAAACAGACTTTCTATCAGGATCAATTATTTTAGCAGCGATGGAAAAGCTGCAAAATACCGCGAGTTGCGATCGTTTCAATCGGGAGCATGAACGGCGGCAACGGAAGTCGAATGCAGCGGTGAATGAGCCGTTGACTGGCGTGTGTTTACAAAGGCAATGACAAGTTGCATAATTGCTCACTCAATCCGTAATCGATATAACGGCCGCGCGGTGTTAATTCCAAGCGGTCTCCTCATCGCGTAACGTAACCAACGGTTGACAGTGATTCTAAAGGAGCTCGGTGTTGACTCGAAGCCGGCTAGTTTCTCGAGCACCCGGCATATCGGCTTCAAGTAACCGTAACGGTTCCGTGGCATATCCGTTTACACGATAATACACTCGTTTCACACCGTCCGGTTTCCGCCGTTGGAAAGTCACCCACGAAAAACAGAGAAATAATCTATTCTCCTCTTGGAAGAAGCCGCGGGCGCTTTCAGAGGCGAGGATTTAGTAAAGTGAAGAGTGGCTTGAAATATTTATTAATAGAATTGCACAAAAGAAGCTGGATTCGAAATAAAAGGGCTCGACAATGACACGAAAGTTTCATTTTTTCCCGACAAGCAATCCTCGCGATCGCTTTGAGGAATAAAAACCGCTTCTTCTAACGATTGAATTCTAAATTTGGAGAAAACCGAAGTACGATATACCGTCGGTCCGATTTTTCATTAATCAATAACGACGGAAACGTGGGACAGCGCGATTGACACGACTCGTAATGTATACATATGTATACATATGAAATAATATTGGACTTCGGAATTTTGCGATGGAAACCGCAATGCTGTCTGTGCGTGACCTGCCGCAATGCTGTCTGCGATGCCATAGTAATGCGCATGATATCGTAATGGATAGAGGATTTAATGACGGTTTTCCGAACAGAATGAGGACTAACTACGTAGGAGTGGTAATTGAAACATCAGCTTGATTTTAACGACGCGACGGTGTCAAGTGGTAAAAAGGAAACGTTAACAAGGTACGAAGTAACTGGTACCCTTAGAGCAATCTAATATCATTTTATCGTCCTCGCAAGAATTACGACTAGAATTATTCAAATAATATTCTGCAGTTGATTAATTTCAGACTTGCACTTCCTACACACATCGTTTATCTTTCAATTAATTTTCCATGCTTCATATCGAGACCGTACGGCGTATTAAACTGACAAGAGAGACGATTATACGCGTTTATGAGTATCCTTTCGCGAATGATTTTGCGCAGCGGCCGATCGAGGGTTCGCCACTGACAAAACGTTTCCGCTCCACGGTTGTTCACGGTTCCGCGGAAGCAGTCATTGTCGGTGCATTATTGTCGCGATGGCATCGCTCCAATTGTCGGAAAGATACGAAGCGGCTGATAACCCTTCCAGGCGATCCGCACAATTGCCAGAGTCCGGTTTCTGTTTTTTTTTTTGGCCAGTTTCACATTTTTTTCTTCGCGTACCCTCTAAATTCTTTGGAGTGGAATCTAAAGACCGGAGCATAGACCTTTATAATGCATAATGCATAAAAAAATCTGCGGGTCTTTTACTTCATGGAAAGAAAGAAAATGAAGGGCTCGGATTAATTCTTTTTTTTTTTAATAATGTGCATTAAGCGTTATGCGTTATGTTAAGACTCTGTGCTACTGCCCTTATTCTAAAGAGTGAAAATTGAACCACTCTTGAAAAAGAATGACTCAATTTTTAATCTTTAAGGATAGTATTTATATATAATTGTTCTTATTTCAAGATCGTCTTAAGTAGGGTCTTAAGATGCTAATACTACTCTGTAATTGGCTTATGACATCTTAAGACTACTAAAAATATTACATTTGAGACCAGTATTCATAGTCGGATCTCATATTTAAGATCATTTTAAGTATAGTCTTAAAGTGTTATGATCCAATCAGAGAGCTGTAATTAGCATCTTGAGATATTATTTAAGATAACGGATCTTAATAAAAATGAACTATGAATATCGTCCTATGACTGTACTTAAGCCAGTTCTTAATATAAGAATTGACTATGGCTTAAGAGTGAGAGTCACTCTAAAAGTTTTATGGGCTTACTACAATGAGTCATTTCCTGTAAGTCTTAAAGAAACCCATACGAAATTGACTAATCGTAATAAATTATTCTTCTTACATTTGACTGTGATTAATCAACTTTTTACGACTTAAGACTTAAAGTTTAGGTAATGGCTTATTGTAGAAAGCCTATTAAGCAATGTTTACAATGAGATTTTAAGGCGTAAAACTCAAACTTTAAGCCTCAAACCATAAAAAACTGGCCAATCATAGTCGATTATTCTTTTCAAATTCAACTGTGATTTGATAATTTCTTAAAGTTTGAAGCTTAAATTTCACGTCTTAAAACCTCATCGACGCCGTTTTACAAAGTAACGCTCCGTCGTGCGAATCTAAAAAGCGCACGTATTTACGAAAATACGAATGCAACAAAAAGATCACGTCAATGCAAATGTATTCGTAAGAAATCAATTCGCACCGAGCACGGTCCGTGACCCGAATGGAATTTCCGCACATAAAGGATTCGCGCGTTCCGAATCGTCCACGGGTCTAAAAAAAAGACACGCATCACGAATTCCGGGGACACCGGTTGAGCAAGTTACGAGGCGGTCTGCTTGATTCGATTAAAAAAGCGGCGAACACCACACGCAATTACGGCGAAACAGAATCCGCGTGAACAACACGTCGTGCTAGACGAAAAACGCCACAAACGCGTGCGCAACCACGCCGCTTTTGGTCGTCCGCCTGGTATATCTGTCGATGTCGAGGAAAGGATCCTCAATGAACATGTGAGACCGACAGCTGGGAAGGTAAAAAGGAACGCGATTAATTTTCCCTTTCCACGGTCACGTTCTCGTCAAAAGCTGACGCATCGACACCGGTTTTGCGTCGCTAATCCGCAAACAGGTACAATCTCGCTTTGCGTTACGTACACGCGACGTACAAGGAATCCCGTTAGGTGTGCGCGGATTCTCCGCTTCACATTAAAAATCTTCTCTTTTTCCGTTGTGATTCCTCAACACGCGATTCTCCGCAAATTCTCGTCTTTAACGAGAAATCTCGTCGTTTACATGGATTACGTTTATACGACAGGTTTAGTAATATCCGTAATTATGAAATTAGTCAATCATAGCTATTCCTCTGAACAGTAATAATGTAATCTTCTTACGAACTCTCTCAAAATCAATAATAAAAAATCCAAAAAAATTCAGGACAAATGAGAGTCAGCGTGGTAGTTAATACGCAAGATGTAATCTTCAATATTTATTCAAAAAAATAGCTATTTTTTGGAATAAAGATTGAAGATTACATCTTGCGTATTAACTACCACGCTGACTCTCATTTGCCCTGGAATTTTTTTAGTTTTTTTGTTGTTTATTCCTTTGAAGAATGGAATGACTGTGATCAGCCAGTTTCATAACTACGGATGTTATTAAATGCTAAAAAAGGTATAAACATAGTCATGATTGCCATCATGGTACAATTAGACAAGGTGTTGTACATG